TCGGTTCGGGATCGGTTCGGGCTCGGTTCGGGGTCATTTTGGGGCCTGTTCGGGTCGGTTCGGGGCCGATTTGGGGCCGGTTCGCGCTCGGTTCGGGCTCGGTTCGGGGTCATTTTGGGGCCTGTTCGGGTCGGTTCGGGGCCGATTTGGGGTCGGTTCGGGCTCATTCTGGGGCCGGTTCGGGACCGATTTGGGGCCGGTTCGGGCTTGGTTCGGGGCCGGTTCGGGCTCGGTTCGGCTCGGTTCGGGGCCGGTTCGGGCTCGGTTCGGCTCGGTTCGGGGCCGGTTCGGGCCTCGGTTCGGCTCGGTTCGGGGCCGGTTCGGGTCTCACCTCAGCCGCCGCTGCAGGAGCGCCTGGCGCCGCTGCCAGCAGTAACGGGTGACGTAGCCCAGGGCCACCAGCACGGCCACCAAGAGCAGGACCCCGCCGATGACAGAGCCCAGCACGACCCCGTAACGGGTGGGCACTGCGGGGACAGGGACACCGTGTCACCCCCGGGAGCCGGGAGGGGACAGGGACACCGTGTCACCCCCAGAACAGAGTGACACTGCGGGGACAGGGACACCGTGTCACCCCCAGGCAGTGGGTGGCACTGCGGGGACACTGTGTCACTGTGTCACCACCAGCAGCAGGTGACATGGAGGTGACACCGCCACCATCGGTGCCAGCAGGTGACAGAGAGGTACCAGGGAGGTGCCAGGGAGGTGCCACCAACCCAGTGCCACCCCACTATCGGTGCTTGGGGAGGTGACACCGCCACCATGGCTTCTAGCAGGTGACAAGGAGGTACCAGGGAGGTGACAGAGGTGACAACGAGGTGACCGCAGCCCCGCACCTTTCTCCAGCACGTAGAGCGTGACCTGCGAGGACTTGCCCACGATGTCGGGCGGGTTCTTGACGTCGCACGTGAAGGTGCCATTGTCGCCGGGCTCCAGGCCGTGGATGATGATGGAGCCGTCCTTGCGGCGAGGGTTCCCCGCCCACTCCATGCGCTCCTTGAAGCTCCCGACGTCATCGATGTAAGGCTGGCCCTGCGCGAAGTGGAAGATCTGCGACAGCGACAGCGATGTCACCGAGCCGGCCGTGACACCGCGGGCACGGCGGGGTGACCGCCAGCACCGGAGCGGGGAGGGGACAGAGGGGACACAGGGGACAGAGGGGACGGAGGGGACACGGCGGGGTGAGGGGGGGGGTTGGGAGGTGATCGTGGTGTCCCCAGGGTGGCACCTGCAGGGAGGCGACACGGGGACACTGCGGGGACACCTCGGTGCCACCAGGGTGTGAGAGGATTGTCCTGGTGCTGGGGACTGGGACACGGGGACACTGTGGGGACACTGCTGGGGCTGGCACTGGGATCCAGGGGGACACTTTGGGGACACCGCAGTGCCACCACAGTGAGAGGGGACACTGCTGGGGCTGGAACCCAGGGCTGGGGACACTTTGGGGACATCCCAGTGCCACCACAGTGAGAGGGGACACTGCTGGGGCTGGCACTGGGATCCAGGGGGACACTTTGGGGACATCCCAGTGCCACCACAGAGCAAGGGGACACTGCTGGGGCTGGCACTGGGATCCAGGGGGACACCTTGGGGACATCCCAGTGCCACCACAGAGCAAGGGGACACTGCTGGGGCTGGCACTGGGATCCGGGGGACACCGTGTCACCCTCAGGGAAGGACCTGTCCCTGTCCTGCTGGCACCGGGACGAGGCGACAGCGGGGCTTGGGGACACCGCGGGGACACCACGGGGACACCACGGGGACACCGGGGACGGCTCGGGGACACCGGGGGGACATTGGCGACACTCACGGAGATGCTGTCGCGGGTGCCCTCGGCCTGGAAGTGCCAGGTGATGGAAATGTCCTCCGAGATCCACTCGCTGGACCAGAAGCTGCACGACAAGGTGACACTCGCCCCCACGGTGCCATAAACCTCGCGCTGCGTGTACACGTGGATTGGGGACACCGGCGACACTCCTGGCGACACACAGGAGTCAGCGCCACCCCCGCCGTGTCCCCCGAGCTGCCACCGAGGGGAGAGACAGGGATTCGGGGTGGGGGGG